AAACATCGTATCCTCGTTGTTAATTGAATTCAGAATGTTGTGTGTCGTTTATATAATTATTCTTACTTGTCCACGGAATCTGCTGACTTATCCAGCGATTAAGTAGCTGCAGATCATTTCTACTTAACCATTGAACTTCCATTAATTCAGTCTCTAGAGGGTTGTATATTTATATCATAATTTGACTTTTATAAAAATGATTATTCTAAATCTTATGTTTCTATAAAAATATACTGTGCTTTAAAAATATGGATGAGTACCAGCCGCTCTTTCAGCCACTTCAAAAGCATCAGTTTGTTTAGAAATAAATTGTGCAGGTAATGTCATAAAATTCAAATAAACATCAAACGAAAATTCTCAGTTTTAGACAATTCAATTTAAACGAAGTAAAGTAGGACCGCAGATATCGTCATTTGCATAGGTGTTCAAATACTTTTTGGTAGTCAGTGTATACATATATATATATTTTACAAATTTAACGAATTCCATATTTGACGTTTGGCAGGATTAATGAAATCGATGTACATGTTATTTCCGAACGTGCACTGTTATAATGATGCACGTGTGTTTTATGATCTCGATGCCGAGAAGTTAAAATTTAAAAACTGCATACACTAACAATATAAATTTCTTCTCCACCGTCCAAAAAATAGGAGCTTTAAGGAACATGTGTTTAGTTGTTTTTTAGTGAGTAAAATGGTTTTCCCTGTAAATAATTTTTTTGTTAATATGTGATAATTTGCTTGCATTATTTTAGATACATTACTTTTTTATGGCCTATTATAAATCTTTCTGTTTAACAATTATTGTTTTGTCCATGAATTTCATGAAAGAATGGTTACCAGAGGCTTAAGGAGGTTGGACTTCTATTTCTCCCCCACTTTAGAGGTAGAGCTACCCCGGGAGCTGGTTCGGGGGTTTTCCACACCTTCCACCAAACCACACGAGAGGACTTTCAGCTCGCCATATATTCAGAGTGCCCCCATGCTGCAAAGGCACTATACATTTACAAACATCCATGGCTTCTTCGGGATTTGAAGCTGGGCGTTTAGACCACAGTAGGCTCACCTAACGACCTATACCGTCTGGGTGACTTTTTAACAATTAATCACACAGACTGAAACATGGATGAGTTTTTCCTTTCCCTCATATCTTCTCAACTATATTTATTTTATTTTTGGTGTACTATTCTATTTTTCGATATATATTAGCAGTATTAATGTTAACTCGAATACCGATTGTTCCATTTCTTTCCTCTTTTGTGTTTATTGAAGAATTTGATGATAGGAGACAAGGCAAATCTTCTGCAGCGATCATCATGTATAATATTTCCTTAATTCGTCATTGTAAAATAGACTGTTAAATTCCTTTATTTTTATTTTATTTATTTATTTATTTTTTTTAATATTTTCCTATGAAGCGAAACCTGGTTAATCTTTTTCAAAGAACATTGAAAATTATTTAATGGAAGCTAACTGTAATATAAGATCATGTGCTAAACGAAAATAAACACTGAAAATTTTCCGCACGTATTATTAGCACAAAGCCAGGTAGTGTTGAGAAATTTTCAAAGTGAATGATTTATTGATATTGTTAACTCAGAATTAAATTTTCATTTTTTTTTTTTTTTTCCATGTTTTTAAGAAAAAGAAGCAAAAGTGAATTTTCGGTTGAGTTGGAGCTGAAGAGCCAAATGTGAAACCCTTTCTACAAAATTGGTCGTTAACGCGATGTTCCCCGTGTTTGTACTGCACTGTTGCCAATCCCGGGTATCGTAAATTCTCTTGCTCATTTTTTTTACTCTTCTTCCACTTCTGTCCTGCGAATTTTTTTGCCTGCCATTACTAGCACACTAACACAGCCTTGTTGGCCAATCCAGATACGGGCCACCGGCGAAGTTAGGAAACAATTCATGCTGAGTAGGGTTCTTTTATTTTGGTTTCGTGCAAGTCTTCCCGCGTATTCTTCCCACCCGTAAACGCATCTCTTTGCAATTATTTTTGCTCTCTTACTTTTGCGAGTTAAACTTCCTTAAGTAGAAAATAAAATAATAGTCAAAGTATTTAATTTAGTAAATATTTAGTTACTAATATTTTGTTTTAATGAAATATTCCCTATAATTAGAAGTTCAAACAACAGTAATCAGGGTTAATTTCTAGGAACTGATTTTTGTTGTTTAATAATTATTATTATATTGTTATTTTTAATTTTTGTTGTTATTTTTTTCTGTTCTAATAAGTTTATTAAAAAAATATGCGAATAGTTGACACAAAAACTCAGTATTTGAAAACATTGGGAAATACGAAAATGCTGAATTATTGTTTGTTTTGAAGCTGGGGATGGCAATGATCTGTAAAGCAATTTAAAATGCAATCGTAAGTTTTAGAACTATTTTGGAAAAGTAGGTAAAACGTTCCTACAGATTTAAAACTATGAATTTTCAGATTCCAACAAAATTATTAAGATATTCTTAGGCAAAAGTGAAATAATTATTAGGATATTCTTAAAACAAATAATTTTCAGGATATTCTTAGCCTTATTATTATGATATAAGTTTTTGATTTGCATTCTGTGAACTTTTTTGATATTAGTGTTAAGATATTATGAGATGAAAGAGTTTTAAGGCATGAGTTACCTGTTGTACTTATTGTTTACTTTAGTTATTATTTATTGTTTTTTCAGTTATTATTTTTAGTGTTAGCAGTGACATCAGCAGCTTGGTTAATATGATTCAGAAAGACGAAAAAAAATGGCGAATTAAAATAGATGGGTGAAGAGAAAAAAATGTGTGTGGCGTGGACGTGTAACTGCAACTGGCGGTATTCCAAAAATAAAGAAAATAATAGTAGTTTTCCCTTATTTAGTAAAAAAAAAACAATCGGAAAAAAAAAAAAACTTCGAAGGATTGCTATTGTAAACTATTAAGCAGAGCTGGCAAAATACTCACAACAACACGCGGTTTCCAGAATCCATATAAAGATTCAGAACCCTCAGCTTAAATACACACGAACTATTTTGCATTCTGGTGAGAAATACGTAAAGGAAAAGTTATAATAAAGACTTAATTCATAATAATTGTTTCGTTAACATAAGATACTTTGCAACTTCAAGAACGCATTTTATTTTAAATGTTTTATATCTTATGTTTTTTTTTATTGCCATTCTGAACTACCCAAAAGTGATTGTGACAGCATTCGATATTACAAAAAATATTACAATTACAAAAAAAAGATTAGATTTAAAAATATGCATATGTACATAAGAAGATGAAAATAAACTGACGTTTCGATTTTAAACCACTACAGATGCACTCAACCGATCAATGTTTATGTTTACAAGTAATATTTACGAAAAGGAGTGATTAATAACAGTTTGAAAGGGATCCCTCATCAATCAAAAAATTTTAGTTTTCTTTGCGCGCTCTTTGAGTTAACATTAACAATGAACAGTCAAAAAATTTAGTTCTCTCCGTGCCCTAGAAGAAGGTTAGCATCAATATTAACTATAAAAGGTAATCTTTATTACTAAATAGCATAAAAGCTCAAAAAGTATTTCAATTTTAAAACTCTAATGGTCGTCCTATACATATTTTTAATGTAAAATAGAAATAAAATGTTAAGACAGAATAGTTAAAAGGAATTTTATTGATAAAAATATTATAATATTTAAAACAAATAACTTTTTATCTTTTTAATAAAATTACAGAAAAGAAAACATAAAGAAGCTTGCAATCGGGAAATACTTATGCTATCACTTGAAATTCTATTAATATATATAGCTTCTGTAGACTTTTATTTTTAATTACATATGACTAAGAATGTTTTATAGTAGTTTGAAGAATTTTTGCTCTCTAGTGCATTAAACTAAACCCGTATAAATGTTAAAAAAGGTTTATGCACTTTATTTTGTAATTTTTCATGTATAGATGAGGACTATAATAACAACAATAATAGAAGAATTATTGCCTTGAACTAAGGAAAATTATTCTCTTTATTCAGCACAGCAACAAAGTAGATGACATCACATTTTTCAAGATCTTTTGATCTGTTCTGTGGTACTTTATTTATTTTAATTTTTGTTTGAAATCCTAATTTAAAATAATAATGTGACTGTTAGCAGCCTTCCGATTTTTTTCGAGTTCGAATAGAACTGTCCGTGTTTAGCGGTCTTATTCATGCTGCTACAGGCGCGCCTTTAAACAAAAATGAAGCTAACAAACAGCAGCATTATTGAAAAAAATATTTAATTTCTCCGAAGAAACTTTAAACTGTCCTAATTTGTTGATTTTTTTAATCAGCTAAATTTTAAAAATTCAAGACGGAAATGCTTATAGCTTTAGTTTAAAAAAATGCATCTAAATAGCTACAAAACAATGCAATACACAATTTTAAAACATGAAAAATTGTTTTTAACAAAAAAAGTGTCAAAACTAATTTTCTTCTTAATTTTATTAACTAAATTATCTAATGAGTGAAATTAAAGGTTTCGGATGGTAAATCTATTGACGTTCAGTGTTTCAAGAACATAATATCAACAAATGCCGTTTTCACGGATTTCAGATATTACATACTCGTATTTTAAAGTGTTTAACTTTAAAAATATCAATAACAACATAGATCAAATTAAAGCAATGTCTTCCCCGCGTTCTCCCGAACGCTTTCCAATTAGTTCTATTTCTCCAATTTTCGTACAGTATTCTACTTATAAGAGGGTAAGCAATTAGTTCTATTTCTCTGATTAGTCGCATCAAATCGAAAAAAGCTATTTATTAATTCTACTGAAAAAAAAATCGATTTTAGCATAAAAGCCACTTTGTTTTATAACATGGACATATAGGAGAAATGCTAATATCGACAGCAATGTAATATTTTTTTTCAATTTTAACTAAGCTAAAATCTGAGGTTCAAACTGCAATTTCATTTCAGAATCTCCACTTTCTGTGGATGAGCGCTTAATCATTCACGTATCAAAGCCTGCTTCTGCTAATACGTGAAGTACTGACTTTAAATCCCACTGATTTCTAAAGAACTTCAGTAAAGAGCAGATATGATCAAGCTATGTGCGTTCTTTACGCGTGCCCGGTTCTATTTGATGCGGAACATCTTTCAGTCAGATCTGTCTGTTGGCCTGCCAGTAAGCAGCTGTAGTCGTACAGAGTTCGACTTAAGAGCGGACCATCGTGAAACTGAGCTCCTACTGAGATTTGAAGCCAAGACACCTTCGAGATAACAGGTTCTCTGCCACTGCCTGCAGCCAAGTTCAACTAATTTCTGTCTGAAGTGAGGATTTGGTATCTGAGAATAATGAATGACCGTAATGACGGTGAGTGATGGTAAATGTTAAATTGATGCTATCCAATATTAGTGTCATGTTACCAGTAATGGCATAAATAGGGGATTATTCCATTATTCAGGATGATTTTATTGAAATTCAGATCTTTAAGCCTAATTACGGATCCTTTATATTTTAATGTTATGACTTTAGGGAAGGTGATATAGCTAATTAAACCCTTATAAAAATGAACTATTTTCTGAATGCTAGTTAAATCTGTGCTTAGTTAACAGAGGATGAAATGGAAAAAAAAAAAAAAAAAAAAGGTTATTAAAGACAGATATTTTTTCTGATAGCTTTGTGAACTGAATTTGCAAATGATTTTCAGACGACGAGCTCATTTAACAATTTTAAGATTCCTCAGTAACTGCTAATTGACGCATATTTCAAAGAAATTCATGCCTGTTTACAGATTGCACAACATGCATAAATATATAACGGGCATGACTATTTACAAATTGTACATACCTTGAATTGATTGAAATTGATAATTAAATAAATGCTGCCGTTTTGCAATTACAAGATGGTCTCACTTATAAGAAGACCTTCGATTTTTAAAGAATTTCTGTAGAAAAAATAAGGACCTTGTGTATAAAATCTCATTTATCTTAACACTGAAATTCATTAGATGACCTAAATAACAGTAACTTCATGTAAGTCTGACATTTTTTAAGCGATGCATCATAATAAGATCTTAATAATTTCTTTCTTAATATATTTTTTGAGTTTTAGATTGCATATATTATACAGGTAGGGTTTTTGGAAGCCTATTTCGAGGGAAGACGTATTTTTTAAATTTTGAATCAGCACGATGAATAGTATACCTAAATATTCTGAAATAAACAGTATAACTAAATACCTTCTAACTGTGAAACTCGGACACTCATCTAGTTTAGGAAAAAAATAGAAAGACTAACTCCTCATTAATAACTACAAAATCCATTCACGCAGATCAGTTAGTTTGAAGTTTGCACAAACCGACTATATGCTCAAAGTTATTGAGCTAAAATTCTATAATAGGCTAAATAAACTTTCTCCATAAATACTCATGCCAGACACTAGTTTCAGAAATTCCACAGTTGCAGAAAGAGAAATCGTAAAAATATCCTGCAGCCACAGAGTATAATTCATGATATAAATCGTCGTCCATCTAGCTTAACATCTACAGGAAGGAAATCTGAGACAGATACCAATTCTTCTAAACTTACAACCGATCTCAACAGCAGCTGTGACCTAAACGCCTTCCCGAAAACCACTTAATCCACCCGAGGAATCACTAGCCAAAATTTTTCATATCGCAACGGTCTGTAGGTTTACCGAAGAGGATAGAGGTTAAAACAAACAGCTAATCCTCTCCTGAATCCTTAAAATGGTAGACGGATGCAAGGAATACCAAACGACGAGATCTACTCGGGAGAATCATGAGAGCAAACGAATTATTTATAGGCGCAGGTGCAGGGATGCTTAAATCCTCCGAGGCAGACAGTCGGAAGATACGTTCCGCAGAAATAATTTGTTGGGGGAATTTCGCCGACCATGTTCTCGCGACACAGATTAGCGAACGTCGGAAAAATGAGTGCTTGCGAGGGGGTACTGTGCTGTCACCTCCCCCAGTGACAGAAAGGCTTTATGCGAAAAAAATTATTTGGGATTGGAAAGGATTTAGAAAGTTTAGGTACCGCAACAGGGTATCCGAAAGCTTCTGAAAACTGTTTATCCTGTTCTGATGCCCCTTAGTTGAAACATTATTAGAGGATGGTCTAGGGGTAAATAGCAATGACAGTAGAGGAGTAGCGGAGATGAATTTTACACTGTTTTAAAAGAAGGAGATGGATTTCGAGTCTATTTCCAAGAAAAACCGCGAGACTGTTGCGAATGTTGTTTTCCAACCCCTTTCTTCAGTGTTCAAAATTTCTTTATTGAGTAAAACGTTGTGATTACTAAGTTGTGATTACATTCCAGCATATTTCATTTCGTTTAAAATTTTGTTTGTTTATTTAATTTTTTTTCGGATGTTTGGAATTAAAATATTAGCTTTTTCCAGCTTTAAATTAAGCTTTTAATGCAATGATAGGCATGCTGAAGAAAGGTGATATAAAGTTTCGTGTCTAAGTGATATATTCTTTAAATCTCGAGAGACTGAATTGAGTGTAAGTCTTTAAATGAAAATAATTTTAAATTTGTGAAACTTCATCTTCTATTCAGGCTTAAGCGAAAAATATTCGAATAAAAGAGAGAAAACGTGTGTATACATTATTAAACGTTAAAGCTTAACAACTATTCAAAATGAATCAGGTGTTGCTAATTTAAATTTAGTTGACAACATTAATGATGTAATTCGCTCATTAGAAACATTCAATCAAATCACTGATAATTTTGGTGACACTTTAATTACGTATTTGCTTTTACAAAAATTAGATCCTTCTACAAAATTATGGTGGAAATGATAGTTAGAATATAATGATATTCTGGAACTTACGGCATTAATTGAATTTCTAAAGAACCATGCAAGAACACTTCAGAACAGCAAACCGAGAAGTTACATAAATCTGTATTTCAGAATAAGAGTAATGTTGTGGTGGCTACTTTGGTTTGTTGTTACTATAGAGAATATCATAGTTTAGGCAAATGTTCAAAATTTCGAAATTTATCGGTTCAGCAAAGAATAGGTTTTGTAAAATCTAATCATTATTGTTTTAATTGTTTATCTAATACGCACTTGCTCAAAAAATCCAACATTTTAAATATATGTCAACATTGCTTTACGAAGCATCACAGTTTTCTACACATGGTAAATAATTCAAAGAACAAAACTCAAATAGTATGTTTCCGTGTACAGAATTTATTCCGAAAAGGGATGATTTAACGAATGTTAAGGATGTTTTGTCTACAGTTGATTCCTCTCATTATGATTCGAATGCAAGAACTAGTCAAACCAGTCGCATTTTGTTGTATACTGCATTACTAAAAGTTCAAAATTCTGAAAAACAGTTTCTGAAGTGTAGGTCACTTATTTCAAGAGACTGTGCGGAGAAATTAAGATTTCGAGTGAAAGATAATTTCATTTGCGTCGTGTTTAGAAGAATTTAATACTGTAAGTAACGGGAACGCCGATTTATTATTCATTTCTTATTTCAAAAATGATATTCCTGTGTCAATGTCATCGTTTATACTAGATAAGATGACAGATCTATGTATATATATAATATAACGCTGATTTTTGTTGTTTGACTTCTGAATTAGATCTGTGTATCTTTACAGTCAATCATTTGTGGTAACATCAGTGATTTAAGGTTAGCTGATTCAATATTTTGCAAGTCACAACCAACTGATATTTGATTTGATGTCAATGTATTTCTGCATTTAATAACGAGAGAAATTTCCGAACGCTGTCAAAATCTTCAGTTTGTGCTAAATTCGAGGTCGGAATAGATAATTACGGTGCTACAAATTTTGAGTCACAGACAACTGATACAGTATATGTAAACCGCAAGAATGCAAATACAGATGACTTCGAAAATTCTTTTGGGAAGCTGGAAAAATTTCCAAATGTGAAACCTTTGTGATAAGGTCGCATAAAGGAAGAAGAAACTGAAGATTAATAATGGACAAGGATGTCTTGAGAGCATAAGATGAATATTATTATTATTTAACTTCTGAATACATTTTCAATAGTTGTTAAGTTGAATTAATTGTTTTAAAAATAATATTAATATGTTGGCATTGTTTCAAACGCAGGCTCGAGAACCACGTATTGCTCTCGCACGAAAATTGTAGAGATATTGGAATAGGTTTGAAAAAAAAAGGAAGGTATAGGTTTTTCTCTTGTTGATTGTATGTAGCCTTTTATTTTGGGCGTTCAATAAAATTTTCATGCGTTGTTCCATCATTAGAGTTTTCATTGGAGTTAAACACCACACCGTTGAAGCATTAACACCCCACCACACCTTTAACAGTTGAAGATAAACTTTGTAAAGAACATTTTGAAAGTTCTCATTTTAGAGACAAAGCAAGCCATTGTTCAGCTGCATTATACCATTCAAACATAATAGAGATTTTTCAGGTGATTTCCGGGAAATGGCGTACAGAAGCTTTCAATATTTGGAGAAAAGACTGTTATTTAAGCTAGAAGTTTACAACCAGTACATTAAATTTTTGAAAAAAGATATTTTTCACTGGGACACGTAGAACTAGTGCCAAACACAGATCTTAAATTAGGGAATAGTCATTATTATAACCCACATCATTTCATCTTTAAGGAATCTAGCTGAACAACAGAACTAAGAGTAGTTAGTTTTTGAGAGGAGTGCTAAAGCCACAACCTGTGTTTCATTAAATGATATATTAATGTACATTAATGATAGGACCAAGATAATTTATTTTGTCTTTTACTAAGATTTAGATTTCATAACATTGCAATAACCGCTGATATACAAATGATGTATAGATAGATAAAAGTTCATGAAAAAGATCAGTTCTTCCAGAGAATATTATGGAAAGACAATCCAGATAAATAAATGCAGCTTTGTCGTTTAAACACTGTCACATATGGAACTGCAGTTGCTCCATATCTTGCCGCCGCCAAAATTTTGAATCGGTTAGCGACTGATGAAGGACTGAATTTTTCCAAGACAATGTATATGGTTTTAAAAGGTTTTTACATTGATGATGTACAAACTGGTGTTAAGAATAGTCCGGAAGGTATTACGTTGGTAGATGAACTGCAGCAACTGCTGAAAATGATCGCTTTGAGCTCCATAAATGGTTCACAAGTGAACTATGGTTGTTAAAAATGTTGGCTTAAAAACACAGATAACGGCAGTATTTATCGTGTAATAGAAAGTAAAGCAGCAAAAGTCCCGGGATTGGAATGGCATCATGACAATTCATCATGATGAATTCAAGTATAATATGGGTGTAATACGTTATCAAATTCCTCTGATTAACAGGATTATTCTGTCATTTGTATCAAAACTATTTCATCCGGTGGG